TATTTTTTAAAACGCGTTGCTTGAATAAAACTGACCAGACACATTCAATTTACCAGACTATTGAACAACTAGGAAAAGTGAAAAAAATACTTCTTATCGCCAGCATAAATGCGTAATTATTTTTTTTACAGAAAAAGTAATTTTTCACTTTTGGTTGAGTAACGCGTCGTAAAATGCAGATACGGGCATGCAAAATACACTTGTGAAAAGCTTGAAGTCTGGCGATTCTAAAAATATATACTTTCCTGGGTCTATTTGTAGTCATTTAGTCACAATTAGAAGATGAAAACAAGTATGCAAATATTAGTCCCGCTACCTTAATTTACCAATTAAATTATCTTATTTTCAGGCTATTAATTACTATGATGCAGCTTTGAAAACTGGACATCAGAATTTTTTACAATATGATTTAGCAGAGTTACTGTTAAAACTCAGACAATTTGACAAAGCAGAGAAAGTGTTAAAGAAGGCACTGGACAATCAGGATTGTAAGTACAATTATAATATTTTATCTATCTGTATATCACCCTCTAGTGACAATCAGGATTGTAAGTACAATTATATTATTTTATCTATCTGTATATCACCCTCTAGTGACAATAAGGATTGTAAGTACAATACTGTAAATACTTTATTTTAGCTGGAATTAATTTTCGCTGAAAAAAATATTTGGGTGTTTTGTATGGAATTTATTTTCACTGATTTTTGATGAGTTGAATGTAAAATAGAGGAAAAAAGGTATATTTGCTGGTTTTTATTTTCACTGAATCAATCCCCCTTCAGCAAAAATTAATTCTAAGCTAAAATAAAGTATTTTACAATATTGTTTTATCTATCAGTATATCACCCTCTAGTGAGAATAAGGATTGTATGTAGCGGCCTCTGACAACTGGGGCTGAAAAAAACTTAGGAATCTGCACGCTACTAGTTACCGTCTGGCTACCAGTACTTTTAGCAAGTCCTGGCAATGATAAGTTTGACTTCAGCTAATTAAAAATTGTTTTATAAACAGAATGCTAATTAGCTAATTATTATTTTGGTCTCTAAGCAATGCAGAATTTGCAAAATTATTGCTGAAATTGTGGTCACATAAGACAAATGGTCTTTATACTCAGGTTCCTTATATACGATATGCCTTGGTCTGCGTAAAAGTGGTGACTAGGCAGGTGATTTTTTATATAGAATATGAAGTGGATAATATTTGGTAATAGTCGTCCAAGTAACTATTAGAATTAGCTAAACATTTCGAGCAATGGCTCTTTATTGATAGCTATTTCAGGGATTGACCGACACTCAAAATTAGTGACCACCACGGAAACGCTTCCGACCAGATTAATTGTTCTATTGTTACTATCATTATGTACAGACCGGCACATATCCTGTCAGTCATGGATTATATTAGTATTTACTTCTATGTTATCGATAAAGAGTCATTGCTCAAAACTTCTTGTTATTTTTAATAGTTACTTAGAACAACGAATATTATGTACCACATATGTCGTATTCATCGATCCGAGCAGCGTTTATTTATTAGTCTTCAAAGAGCAAGGTTTGACTGTAATGCATGATTTCAGTTAAAAAAAACTAACCAAATCGAAGAGATTATAAAAACCTACAGGATTTTTCCAACACAATTGCTTGATACTTATTGATGAAAAGTAAAATGGATCATGAAAAAAAAACATGAAAAGAAACTGAGAAAGCATGGATTATATATACATAATATACTACAGGTGTCAGTCATCTACAATATCGTTAAATTTCTATTAGAAGCTGTATCCCTAAAATAAGTCACATCCATTCCTTCTGAACAATTGAGAACCAAAAATTCATCATTTCTCATATGTGCAGCTGCTTTTAATAGAAACCTTATCCTTTCTGTTGCATTGTTCCATTTTAATAAAAGTCATGTTTCTAATTCAGATTTTACAGTATGATCTGAGTGTTACATAACATTTAGATACCTTCAAGATAGTTTGACTTGCTTTCAAAATTATCACATATCTGTGCTTGGTAGTCTGTCTAAATATGTTTTACATTAGTAAATACTACAAAGAGTAAGTTAAAATTATTGATGACAATAATACTCACTTTAAAAATAATAAGTTTTTATAAAAAGTCAATGCCAGCTGCCAGCCAGCTTGGAAGTTACCTTTTCACCACCAGACTTTCTTGCCCAAATTTTTCTGCACTTGCTTCTTAAATTCTTCAATATTTCTGGGAATGGATCTTTATTTTGGAGTAAAAAATAACGAAATTTGAGTCAATTTTCAGTTTTTACTCAAAAAATTTGACAAACTATAAACTGGATTATTTTGTAAATGTGTGATGAAAGGGTTAAGTTATGTCTGGATTTTACTATTTGCTGAGTAAGTTAAAATCATTGATGACAATCGTACTAACTTTAGAAATGATAAGTTTTTATAAAAAGTCAATGCCAGCTACTAGCCAGCTCGGAAGTTAAGCTTTTCACCACCAGACTTTCTCGCCCAAATTTTTCTGCACTTGCTTCTTAAATTCTTCAATATTTCTGGAAATGGATTTTTATTTTGGAGCAAAAAATAACGAAATTTGAGTTATTTTCAGTTTTTACTCAAAAAATTTGACAAACTATAAACTGGATTATTTTGTAAATGTGTGACGAAAGGGTTAAGTTATGTCTGGATTTTACTGTTTGCTGAGTAAGTTAAAATCATTGATGACAATCGTACTAACTTTAGAAATGATAAGTTTTTATAAAAAGTCAGCTACTAGCCAGCTTGGAAGTTAAGTTACGACTGACTGTACTGTATGTCTTATATTAGTAACATTGGTAAATACCACAAAGAGTAAGTTAAAATTATTGATAACAATAATACTTGCAGGTAGCCAGCTTGGAAGTTAAGTTACGACTGACTGTACTGTATATCTTATATTAGTAACATTGGTAAATACCTCAAAGAATAAGTTAAAATTATTGATGACAATAATACTTGCAGGTAGCCAGCTTGGAAGTTAAGTTACGACTGACTGTACTGCATGTCTTATATTAGTAACATTGGTAAATACCACAAAGAGTAAAAGTTAAAATTATTGATAACAATAATACTTGCAGGTAGCCAGCTTGGAAGTTAAGTTACGACTGACTGTACTGTCTTATATTAGTAACATTGGTAAATACCACAAAGAGTAAGTTAAAATTATTGATAACAATCAGAGTCACTTTAAAAAAGATAAGGTTTTATAAAAAGTCAATGTCAGCTACTAGCCAGCTTGGAAGTTAAGTTATGACTGACTGTACTGCATGTCTTATATTAGTAACATTGGTAAATACCACAAAGAGTAAGTTAAAATTATTGATGACAATCAGAGTCACTTTAAAAATGATCAGTTTTTATAAAAAGCAATGCCAGCTACGAGCCAGCTTGGAAGTTAATTTACGACTGACTGTATTGTATTGTATGTCTTATATTAGTAACATTGGTAAATACCACAAAGAGTAAGTTAAAATTATTGATGACAATCAGAGTCACTTTAAAAATGATCAGTTTTTATAAAAAGCAATGTCAGCTACTAGCCAGCTTGGAAGTTAAGTTACGACTGACTGTACTGTATGTCTTATATTAGTAACATTGGTAAATACCACAAAGAGTAAGTTAAAATTATTGATAACAATAATACTTGCAGGTAGCCAGCTTGGAAGTTAAGTTACGACTGACTGTACTGTATATCTTATATTAGTAACAAATATAAATATTTTCTCTTACAGCTAAAGATTTACAAGCCTTGATGGAAGAAACACGATGTCTTGTATTGTTATCAAAAGTATACCATAAAGCTAGTAAAATGAATGAATCTATGCTCTCACTGGGCAATGCAAGAGATGTACAAGCAAGGTAAGTAAAACATGTTACTACTGTAAAAGGATTCATTATTCACTGGGTTTTAATTTTGCTTATTTCGCTGACTGGAAAGTGTGTTTTTAAAACAATTGTTTGATATTGCTTCCCAAGAGTACTTCTCCCAAAATCACATGTTATACAGTATTCTGTAAAATAATTTACCGGTATTCTTGATGGAATTGTTTTTCGCTGACTTTTTATAAAAACTTATTATTTTGAACAAAATGCTAAAGTATTTGAGTTACGAACATTGAGTTACGAACATTGAGTTACGAAAACATTGAGTTACAAAAACATCAAGTTACAAAAACATCAAGTTACAAAAATTATCAGAAATCACGCCCACTTTTGCAAAACGACGCTGATTGGAGGTCAATTCTCTTTTGTAGATTACGTAACTCTGTTCATGAAGATCGTATTCACTTTGTCTTAGACTTGATCTTCAAAATATTTTTCCAAAATACACAATATTATCCTGAGCAATCTCCTATTCCACCTTCTCACTGGATTAAAATTATTTACAAACATGTCCCAGAAATACTGAATTGTTCGAGTTATGGCCATCGAATTACGAAAACATCGAGTTACAAAAATGACCATGCCCCTATTTCAGAAACGCCCACTTTTGCAAAAACCATGCCAAATTTTAACTCAATGCTCAATTAACAGTTAACGGAACTTTGAGTTACGGGCAACATGCATTTTTGTTTACGTTTAAATTTAAATTTAATAACTCAAATGTTAGTTAACGGTTTACTTTGAAGTAATCCTGAACAATCAAATTTATATATGCTGCACACGCAAGGAGTAATCTTATTACCCTGTTCAGTAGAGTCTCAACAACCATCCCAAAGTACCGTTTTCTGATAGTTTTTGGCCTTTGTTTTCACTGTGATGGTTGCCAAGAAGTGAAAATGCTCGAATGTCCTCCCGAGAATACAAATGGAATCAATCTCCCATAATTCATTGCATATATGCTCAGTAGTGAACAGTTTTAATTCAGTTCCATTTCCTTAACTTGTGTGCTTAAGACAATTGTTTGATATTGCTTCCCATTAGTACTTCTCCCAAAACCACATGTTATACTGTATTCTGTAAAATAATTTAATACCAGTATTCTAGCTGGAATTGTTTTTCGCTGAAAAGACTTTTTGGGTGTTTAATACTGTAAAATAATTTATTTTAGCTGGAATTGTTTTTCGCTGAAAAGACTTTTTAGGTGTTTAATACTGTAAAATAATTTATTTTAGCTGGAATTGTTTTTCGCTGAAAAGACTTTTTAGGTGTTTAATACTGTAAAATATTTATTTTAGCTGGAATTGTTTTTCGCTGAAAAGACTTTTTGGGTGTTTTGTATGGATTTTATTTTTAACGAGTTGAATGTAAAATATAGGAAAAGTGTATATTCTCTGGATTTTATTTTCACTGAATCATTCTTTAAGCGAAAATAGGGAAAATTAATTTCAAGCGAAAATCAAGTATTGTTCAGTAACTATGAAGGACCTCTTTATCATATGTCATGGTTACTAAAAAAAAATACCAAGCCTATACACACCTGTCGGAACATTTTAAAACTTTCCATGAGCAAATGTTGCCATGGAATGTACTTAAGTAAACAACTTGTTCTTCACTTTTTGCATTTTGGGTGAAAATCTTCATATTCTGGGTTGATATCATTAGGATGTAAAATATAAAAGTTAAGGGTCGGTGGACAATCTTCAAAAAACAGAAATCTAAAATGTTCTTGTAAATGGAAAGATTTGCTTTTGTCTTTGCATTGGTTTATTTTGTGAACAGATGACTTTACGTTAAGACTGTACCCATCAGTTACAATGTTATGTTGAGTAATTATGGTAATGTTATTTCTTTTTGGCAGAGTATTAAAAAGAGTTCAGATGGAACAACCTGATGCAGTCCCTGCACAGAAAGCACTGGCTTCAAAGTGAGTTAAAACTCTTTTCTCAATATGGCATCTGGATGGCACAGCATTCCACTGGACAAAGAGTATGAGAAAGCTATTAAATTCATTCTCATGAATATTCATGAGTTTGTCAATATTCATGTGTATATGCTGTCAGATGGCGCAGCAGTCCACTGAACTAAGAGTATGAAAAATCTATAAAATACACTCTCATGAATATTCATGAGATTGTGAGTATTCATGAGATTGTGAATATTCATGAGAATGTGAATATTAATTAGCTCCCAGCATTCATGTGTCTGGGAGAGCCCTATATAAGCTGTAACATTTCGTTTTAATTACAGTATATGCTGTCAGATGGCACAGCATTCCACTGAACTAAGAGAGTATGAGAAAGCTATGAAATACACTCATGAATATTCATGAGTTTGTCAATGTTCATGAGATTGTGAATATTCATGAGAATCTGAATATTAATTAGCTCCCAGCATTCATGTGTCTGGGAGAGCCCTATATAAGCTGTAACATTTCGTTTTAATTACAGTATATGCTGTCAGATGGCGCAGCATTCCACTGAACTAAGAGAGTATGAGAAAGCTATGAAATACACTCATGAATATTCATGAGTTTGTCAATGTTCATGAGAATCTGAATATTCATGAGAATCTGAATATTAATTAGCTCCCAGCATTCATGTGTCTGGGAGAGCTCTATATAAGCTGTAACATTTCGTTTTAATTACAGTATATGCTGTCAGATGGCACAGCATTCTACTGAACAAAGAGAGTATGAGAAAGCTATTAAATTCTACAAAGAAGCCTTGATATACACAGACAATGATGGTAAATCTATGCTGGAGCTTGCCAGATTGTATCTACAGCAAGATGAACTAGATCAGTGTCAGCATCAGTTAATGCAGCTGTTACAGTCTGACAATGAAAATGATGCCGCTACTGTGGTTAGTATTAAAAATACATACCTACTTGTAAAACATGTCTTTTTGGCGAGCATGTCTTTTTAGCCAATTTAGCGAGAGAACTAATTTGGTAGTTTAAGATGTCATTATCATTACCTCATTATAAATTCAAAATGGCAGCCAAACAACGTTCATTTTTCTCCACACACACACTTTGTAAACAACACAGAAAATGTAATAATCTGAAGCACTTCCTTATTACACTTTTTATGGAGGTGATAACTGCGCATTTGTTTTGGCTGGCGACAGACAAATATTGAGAAAACAGGAAATCAACAATGACGAGAGAGATTTGCTAAATCAACATTTCGCTATTACGTCATTTTACCACAATTCGCTAAAATAATATGTCGCTTTTTCAACATGTTTTACAGTATATACATGGAAGGATTCCCTTTTGTAAGCCCCCCTCCCCGAATCCTAACCCTGACCCTTGCCCCAAGCCCCCAATTCAACTGCATATGCCCCCTCTAGATAACTATAGGTGTCCTTAGGAGGGGCATGTACAATTAAATTGGGGAGCACTGGAAAGTAAGGGTAGGGTTAGGGTGCTTCTAAATTTGCTTTCAGGATTCAGTTGGGTTTTCCCTGAACTGTACAAAATCCAAATTTCTTATGATGCTTACAGGGGGAATGAATAAGAGCGAAAAATCACATGTTTTCAAAAGTGTTACTGAATTATTAATTTGGACACTTATCATTAACTTCTAGTTTATTTTTCCCTGTATGACTTATCTTTTAAGAGAAAATTGTCTGAAAAAATGAAAAATTAGACATTTTTAGTACAATTTCCCTAGTTAGCCCTTTGCTGCAAAATTTTGGTTCATCATTTTGCCTGTTTTTTGTATTTTTCTATATTTTTCAGATCATTTTAGATCAAATATTGATTACAATTTCTAATTATGGAAAATTATTAAAGCAATATTTTGTTTTAAAATTTGACAACTATCACCTTTTAATGTATGCGTCTCAGGTTAAATATACTGCAAGAAAGAGCCAGTTGTCTTTTTATATCAGTTACTAGTTGAAATTTAGAATAGAAAACAGTTTGCCTCATCGCCTTAGGTATGACCAGTTTTTGTTTGACTGCTATGTGACATCACAACTGGGGTGGTTCAAAGCAGCTTTTACTGCTCCTGCTCGCAGTGTCAGGAAGTTTGGGAAAAAGATAGTGAATAACGAGATCGATAGATAAAAAGGTGTTTAAGCAATTTTCTCAAATTGAAATGCAACTGGATGCATTTTTAATATACATTTTACACAAATTCCCTCGCATAACAATGGCCCAATATGATCACCTAATACTACTTCCCCAGATTATGGGCAGGGGTCGAAATGCACATAGATTATTAGCTAGTGCAAGTAAACTCGAAATATAATGTGCCGCTGTGCATGTAGAAATTAACACAACATTTTCTCATTATATTCACTAAGCCTAAATTAAGTTCAACCAATATTGTAAGACAAATAAAAAAAAGCAAATTCTTTCATGATCGCATCAATGTACATGTATATACCGTAAATTTTATTTAAACTTTAAAAGTGGTGCTTTTCACAACAAGTTAGTGCAGGTAAATTTCAAATTCAACATGCACACTGTGCATGCAAGGAAAAAAATTCTTATTTCAATACCTGATGGGTTACTACTGCCATGTCACTTGGGACACCCTGAGGCAATGACAAGAACGCACTCCAACATACAGACATTGTTCAACAGTATTGTAAGCGGTTAGCATATGTTCACTGGTTCAATTGTTTGGCCTCAATACACAGACTGAAACATATATTTTACCCATACATCTTATATACCATAATAAAGATCTTGTTTCAAACTTTGATAATATGCCATTTTTTTAATTTATGCAATTACCAAATCTTGTGATCACAGGAATAAGCGTAAATGGAGTAAAACGGTTAATGACGCAATTAATAATTAATTTGCACCACGACTGTATATATATTTTTATGTAAATTTTCATTTTGCAACTATAATTTGTTTTTATGTAGCCTTATTTCAAATGTTTGGACGTTAATACCTGAGTAAAAACAACATTTCTCTATATAAAAATAAGCAAAAAATCAAGACGAAGGCAGACAGCAAAAAATTCAGGAACTTTCCTTCAGTATATATAGCGATAAATTTTACCGAAAATGGCGTTTGATTGTAAAAATTCGAATAAATTTACTAGATTTGTTATTTCTTGTAGATGTTAGCTGATTTGATGTTTCGTAAAGGTGAATATGACCAAGCCATTTTTCATTTCCAACAACTTCTAGAGAGATCTCCAGGTAAGTGCCATGTTCGATTACAGTAAACCTCTTTATTATATAGCGAAAATTCAGCTCGACATGAGCAGCGAGAAACACTTTGTTTTGCTCATCGGTTAACTGAGACAATAATTGGAAGCTTATCAAAGGTACAGCCGATAAAATATTGTACCAATAAGAATCTGTCCTCAACCGGTCACTGGTAGCATAGTGGTTGTCGCATCAGACTCGTGTCGGTAGACCCAGTTCAAATCCAACCTTAGGCTGAACATCAAAGGGTCAACCCCTACCCTGGGTGAGTGTGCCACAGACTCAATGGGAAGGCCAATTCATTCACTAACAAATGCGACTTTAGGGGGAACCTTTGGTTAAGGTCCGCAGGTGCTTGTGTTCAACCGAACCTGGTTGACACCAGGATAGCGCATTAAAATTGCCATTTGATAGAGAGATGGTCACACAGCCCTGCCATGTAGTCCCTAACATGAATATGACTTCTGTGCCAAAAATGCGCTAGCAATTTGCACTTACAAAAAAAAAAAGTCAGGAAAGACAACAGTGACACTCAATGTCCAGAACAAAGACAATTTTTAAAATAAAAATAAATAATAATCTGTCCTCAAATGAATGACACGTTATCAACACTGGGCGACGACTAGTCTGACCTTTTGCGTTTTGAGTAGTGGGGTCAGTCATCAACTGCGTATGCGGCAAAAAGTACAGCCATATCGTGTAGTTTTTACTAGAAAGCGTCTACCCATAAGCTTTTGCGTTTTCAACCTACGTTGTTATCATCGATTGGGACTCAATTTCTGCGCATACGCAGGTGACGACCCCGCCACTTCAACGTCAATGTTTGTATTAATCATCAAATACATCGTATCTTTGAGTTGGTGTGCATTATGTATAAACACTAGTGTAAAATACTTTATTTATATAATTACACATGTAGCTTGAATTAATTTGCTTTGAAAAGGATGTATGAAGTTAATTTGTACTAATTTTGAGTTGAATATGAAATATAAGAAAATTATAGATAATTGCTGGATTATATTTTCCCTTCAGCGAAAATAAATTTCAAGCGATAATAAAGTATTTTACGTTACTTTATATGGGCTAATTTAAACAAGAATACAGTGTCACCATCCAATTGTCGAAGTGCACTGATTTTTGCTGTACATCTAGCGCTGTGAATAGTAAAATTTACCATTCCATGATAAGTTGTACCAGATTCTGCCGTATATTCGCCTATCACGGCTGGTGGGCCCTCATTTGGGGTTCAAATTTTCATAAAATATTTTTAGGGGGCTTATATTTTCATTGAAAAATCCACCTACACAGATTTTCAATTGTTGATTATTACCTAGTAATGATTATAATAACGTGCAAAAAATAAATTCGTTGAATTGTTATGAAATGCAAATAAATTTCAACTTATTTCAACGTAAACAAATGATTCCGAACGCATTTTCAACGCTCGATGCTGTAGAAATGAATAATAATAAATGAATGTTTTGATCTACAGGTCAAATCGATAATTAACCAAAAACTATGGATGATGTCAACGTGCCATATCTCATTTTACCATAGCTCATTTAAATATGTTAATGTTATTGAACGCAACGCGGAAGAGATTTGCCGATGTTGTAGTACGATCGTTTGGCTTGGATTTTGATGGGAAAGCGGCATGATGTGTTTTTAAATAAAAAAATTAGTTGTTTTCAAAATAAACTGAGCATTTGAAGAATAATTTAACATTGTTTACAGCGATAATAGCTCATTGTCGAAATGAAGCTTACCCATTCACGCTAGTCACAATAAACATCATTACTCTTGAATAGG